AACTTTGTTAGTGCATAGATCAACTCCTCCAAACAATTCTAATAGCATCTAGTTACTTTATTCCAAGTAAAAGGGATCACCTAAAATCAGTATTTCTTGTGTGGGTTTTTCTTTTCAGGATGAAGTTACTAGTGTAAATAGGGTATAAATTACCAAGGAAAAGGAAGCAGACAACATTGTTTTCCCAGCACATAAGTACCATACTGGATGTGATTTCATGCATACATTACTGAGTGTTACTAAAACTAGAACAGACACCCACTTGGAGTCATAAAGTTCTCTCTGTGGCTCCTAAGGGACCCATGAGTTTTTTATACAGTTGCACAGCTGGTTTATGTGTACCATTTCAAATGGGCAGAACTCAGCCTTCTACATTTGCCTTGAAACTATTTAATGGCTGGAAACTTGTCTGCAATGCAGCTTTTCAAAGAGTTACATGTTTTAGTAGTCACAGATAATGCCAAACAATTCTTTTGGAAAAAAAATCAAGATCTTATAGTCAATAAAATAGGAAAATTATTTTGAAATTAGAGCTAAATGGGTATCGTATTTATATTTAGGCTAATATTTCACAAAAAGAGTGTATTGTCATTTCTTTTGAGATATAAATAACCATGCTACAGATATTCCATGGTTTTTTAAAGGCTCAATATATTTGGTAAGAAATTTTGCTCATCAGCATAAATCAGAGAACAATATGATAGAATTAGTTGTCCTAGATGTTTCTACCTTTATAACCCTTTAATTTTCCTTTGATGTTATGAATATGGGTTTCTAGATTTAGCAGATAATTCTGCCAGTAAACACTGTGAATCCTCCCACACAATATGTAGTGTGAGGGGTTCCCCCTCCTCCCTACTCCAGCTCCTGCCCTTTCTGGAATAGTACAATTCCATAGAGTTTCTCTTCAATGATCTGAGCTTTATTTTTATTGCCCTGTATTTTTTAAATGGTGATAAGTAATTTTATTGGTCACATTGCCCAATAAATTTTTAAAGATCTCCCAATATGCCACAAATGAGCAACATTTCATGTGATTACTGACAACAAACTATTAAGGCAAGAAGTCTGAAATCCAAATAACTGAAAGGTTCTGCCTTAGGCTACTGATAGAAGCTATGCATGACTCTTAGTATGGCAAGATCACTATGTAAGACTGAAGGAGGTTTGTATACTAACTTATACATGCAACATGTATTGCCTTTGGTACTTATGAGGAGACAGGCATGAGAATGTGAGCTTAAGTTAGAATGGATTTATTTCCTTAAATTTCTCAAGTTATCAACAATATATTTTATTTTGTAAAGAGGTCTTGTTTTTTAGAATCTGTTGCTGCAGATGTTTTTAAACATCTTTGAAAAACAGATTGATGTAGGTTCTGAAAATGTGACCCAGGGACCTCTGGGAATCTTTGACATCCTTTCATGAGTTCTACAATATCAAAACTATTTCTTAATAACACTAAAGCTTTTTAGTTTTAATGTGGTAAATATAGATCACTGTGACCCACATAAATAAAATCTCTCTGAGGTCCTCAATAATTTTTAAGAGTGTAAATGGGTGATGAAACCATGCAAATGTTTGAGAACTGTTGGTATAGGAGATCAATAATTGGAGAATCAAGAGACTTGCATTGTAGGCCAGGATTTGCCATTCGCTACCTGAGTGTTCTTGGTCTAATTACATTTCTATGACTCACTTTCCTTATCCATTGACTGAAGAGATTGGATTAGATGACCTTTTAACTCCGCACTAAAATTCTATGATTCTCTTTATAGAAACTACTTTTATTATATAAAATTATAAGTATATTTCATATTATAATACCGTAAGAAATATCTATTTTATATAGCTATGTTCCATTCCAGGGAGAGTCAAGTTTTTTTATAGACTGATTATTAAGGGAGAGATTTGAATTATTTTAAAATTAATAAGAATCCATATCAATTTTAGACTGTTTGAGCTTGTCACTCCCTGCAGATGGGAGTGCATGGAGATAAACTGGATTATTTTCTCCATATTATTTTTATTGTCATTATTCTACAATGATTATTCACTCATCAATTCAATAATCACTTATGAAGCACCTCTTATGTGGAGAACACTGTATTAAATGTTGGGAACACCAAAAGTATGCTGGTAAATGTCCTCCAAGGACAGCTTTCCAAGGAAAAAAATATGTTCACATGATATGCTTTTAAGTTTAATCTACATTATTTACATTTTTTCCATTACTTTCTTAAGGCTAGAGTCTTAGACAATAAAAAAAACCCAATAAACAAAACCCTGATTTGTTAGCATTTGCTAATTTCCAATGTACAAAGGCTCATGTTGAAAATTTGATGATTGGTTTTCCTGGTTCTATTTTGAGCAGGTGCCACTTCAACCTTGATTATATACTTGGAGTTCATTTATAGCTTGGTCTCTGCCTCCATAGAGTTTTCAGTTTGCTAGGGGGAAATATGAGCTAGAAATTACTTATAAATTTCTTATTAATATTAATTAATACTTATTAATAAGTGTAACATTTCTTGGAGAAACACCTTGAAATTTGCATAAATGTTATATTTGGTTTCCTATAATCAAAATGGGCTAAAATATAAAGATAAAATGAAATGGCTATTATTAATTTCTATTTTTAAAACATTACTGATAGCGTAAGTTATTTTATGTCTGTAAATATTTAAGTAAGCTTGTCCTGGATAACTCTGATCGTAGTTAGTTGATTCCTATAATCAGTGGATTTGCATTAGAGGAGTCATCTAATTTGAGGTTACTGAATGAATTTAGAGTGCAAATGAAATTCATTTAACAGCATATTTTCATATTATAAACTTCCATATTCATCATGAAAAAAAGATTGGTAAAATGCATTTTAAACACTTTTAGCTTTTATTCTGGGTGAGAGTATGGGTTTTCTGGCAAATTCAGTTAGATTCAATTCAGCACACATTTATTAAGTACCTACTATGGTCAAGGTATTATGCTCAGTGCTGGAAATCAGACAAAAAGAGAATAGCCCCCACCTTCAAGCAGCTTACATTCCCCTGGATGAATACATTATGTTCACAAAATAGATTTGCTCTCAGACTATCATATTATTTATACTTAGTGTTTGATTCCTAAAACAGAGGAAAGGGAAGGTTTTTTCCCTTCACTATTTCAAACTAGAGTTAACCCGATGCATTATTTTCTTTCATGATTTATTGGCATAATAACATAATAATGTGATCTCTCTCACTGCTATCCTTATCTCTCCCCTACCTGCTCCCCTACCACCAAAAAATTAACAGGTAATGTCTACCAAGCTTTAACCGTATCAACCAAGTTGAAAAAATACACATTTAGGAAAAGACTGTTCAAAAATTTATTTATTTGTTTTTATTAATTTTTAAATTTTTTTTATTAATTTTTTGTTCAAATATTTATGATCGATACACATCCACCTTTGCAGATTTTCAGGTTGCAAACTACCTTGAACCTGCATGGGTGGGGGGGAAATCCTTTGAAACTTATGGACAACAAAAACTTTTTTTTTTACCCTTACGATGATGCAAACCAATTTGTGCCATTTAAACCTATGAACTATAGGTTAGAAGATAAAGTCAAGCTTTATATATTTGAAATATGTGTGTGTTTGTGTATGTATAGTTGTTCAGTTATTTCAGTTGTGATTGACTCTTTGTGACCCCATTTGTGGTTTCTTTGGTGAAGATACTGGAGTGGTTTGCCATTTCCTTCTCTAGTTCATTTTACAGGTGAGGAAACTGAGGCAAACAGGGTAAAGCGACTTGCCCAGGGTCACACAGCTAATGAATGAGGCTGGATTTGAACTCAGGACTTCTTGACTCTTGGCACTCTATCCATTGTAATACCTAGCTGCCTATACCTACAGACACACAAATATACACACATACATATGTGTGTGTGTGTGTGTGTGTGTGTGTGTAAAATCAACTATTATCTGTTTAATTCCTTAGATTCTTAAAAAAGTAAAAGTTATAATTCTTAAAAATAAGCAAACTTTTTTTCTTAATGCTTTCATTATTATTCAAATAATCCCAGACCTATCCTGAGATCTCTTTAAAACCTTTTCTGAGATTTTTTTTCTCATTTGTATCAGGACGATAGTAGTTCCTGGTAATTGCCAAGTTAGCATCTCTCTAAAATACACAGCATTGTAACATTAAAGGGGATGACATTGTTTCCCTGTAACCCTGCCTTTTATAGAAAGTCCATCTGCAAAAATCCATTTGCTGTGAAAAAGCATCAATTCTTACTGTCTGCTACAGACAATGAAGTAAATTTTCTCTAGTTTAACACATTTTTAGTCAACTTCAGAGCGATTTCTTTTTAGATTTGTAGCATCATAATTTCAGAATCTAATCTCTTACTTGACAGTTGAGAAGGCTTTGGTCTCTGAGAGTGAGCAGAAAAGTTAAAATCGCAAAAATGAATGTTGTACATAAGTCATCCAATTTGTAACATGGATACAGAATGGTGCAGTTTGGTTTTAGTTATCACACTATGTGGGTTTTTTTTTATCAGAATACATGGATCAAATGCTGTAATGTCATTAAAAAGAAGGCAATTACTTGAATGAGTCAAATTTCTTTGCTTGCCCTCATCCCCCATTGTTTTTAAAGGTAGGAGAATCTATTCCAGATGAACGATATTGTGGCATATGAAATGTTACAGCTGTAACTGAGTGTGTTACAGTGACTGTTAAGTAACTGTAAAATTTACTGTAGCCTTCAAATTAGGATCACTATCTTGTGACTCACTGTTCCTTTGGGAAGGTCATAATTGTACAGTGTGTACTATACCATACATAAACAAATATACTACATCCAAAGGAAATCTTGGTGGTCATTTGTAGGCTTTATTGCATCAAAGTCATTATGATTTTTCTGTAATCTAGTATTTATTATTATGCCAAATAGCTAGACCTAGAATCCTCATTGTTGAGTAATATTTTTGCTTTTTATCTGGGGCTTCAGATCCGTCTGCTCCACCAGCTCCAGCTAATCTCAGAATTGCCAACACCACTATTAACAGTGATGGAAGTGTGGCTGTGAGGATTATTTGGGATGTCCCGGAAGAACCTGACATTCCTGTGCATCACTACAAAGTCTTTTGGAGTTGGACAGTCAACAGCAAGTCAGTTGTGCCATCTAAAAAGAAGAGAAGAAAGACAACTGATGGGGTAAGGTATAAATTAGAAAGAGGGGTTAATATTCTAGGTGTGCTGGAAAGAAAGAGGGTGTAATAGATCTCAGAAGTAAGGTTCCACTGAGGTTAGAGACAGAAATGATGAAAGAAATTTTATACACACACACACACACATATTTGTATATATACATATATATACAAATCTTTGTAAGTGTATACATACACATACATATATACAGATATACTACATATACATATATACATACAAATATATGTATATACACATATATGTACAAATATATGTAAATATATACATATATACACATATACTATATATGTATGTATATAAATAGATATACATGTGCATACATACATATATACATATACTATCTATCTATCTATCTATATGTATACACACACACACATACAGAGAGAGAGAGAGAAAGAGAGAGTGTTTGGAAGAGAGAGAACATTTTGGTAGTTTTGTATCTTGGTTTTAGAAGGAAAAATAGAGTTCAATTCCTTGTTCAGCTCATGCCCAAGTGACAGTCACAGTTCACAGAAATGGAAGAAACAATTTCAATTACCTGTATCACAGATGTTTAGGAACTGAAAAGACTATAACCCAGAGTTGTTCATCCACAAATGTGGAGCTTTAGTTTTTAGAGTTCCTGTAAATGGAGGAAGAAACTTGGATTTTGTTTATATGTCATGATATTTACATTTGTAATGCAGTTCCTTGAAAACTCAATAGACTAGAAAATAAATGTTTGGGGAATCTCTCTCTCTCTCTCTCTCTCTCTCTCTCTCTCTCTCTCTTTCTCTCTCTCTCTCTCTCTCTTTCTCTCTCTTTCTCTCTCTTTCTCTCTCTTTCTCTCTCTTTCTCTCTCTCTCTCACCCTCCTCTCATCTACCAAAGGTATTTAGGATAGTTTATTGCCCAGAAGAAGACAAAATTTCTTTTGAACTATTTTGCTGAAGTGAGATTTTGATAACATTGAACATCCTGGGCCATATGCAGTAGCTGATATAAAACACCTGATGTGGTTTATTCAATTTTCCTTTAGTACATAATATTTTAATTTTGCAATATTGTGACAGCATGAAAAGTGCTTTCCTTTAAAGAGCTTTTCTGATGTCCCATTATGGTGTCAAGAGGATCTTCTAGTCTTGAAGAGTGTACCAGTAGAGCTCAAGTTCTGGGTAGGTCCATCAAATTAGAAAGATTTTGAATAGGGGGTTGGTAACACTATTCTTCACCTGTTATCTGAAGAAAAATCTCTGTCAGACTGAGACACTCATCATCAGAAGGTTGGTCACCATGTGATTGTTTTTGTGTTTGGTCACAACAATTCATAAAACTATCTTCAATGTCAGGGAGATGTTGTGATTTACACTGATCAGAGATCATAGATCTTTTTCAATATTAAAATGTGAAAAGCATTTCATAGGTAGTGATTTTTAGAGTAAATAGGGTGCTGGGCCTGATGTCAACAAGACTTATCTTCTTGAGTTAAAATCTGCCTTCAGAACCTGACTAGCTGTGTGATCTTGAGTGAGTCACTTTGCCCCCTTCCACTCAGTTTCTTCATTTTACATAAAATGAGCTGGAGAAGAAAATAACAAACCATTCCAGCATCTTTATCAGGAAACCCTCAAGCAGGGTCACAAAGACATGACTGAAATGACTGAACTACAACAATGTATAATATGAAATAAAATTGATATAAAACAAAAAAAATAATTGAAAAAATTATGCCTGGTGTGATTACTTTTGTGGTATGCTTTATTGGGAGAGCCAACTTGTAATGGTGTATATTGAACTGGCCTCAGAAGTTAAGAAGTGCTTGTTTCAATTCCTGCTTCCAACATATATTGGCTGTGTGTCCCTAGGCAAGTCACTTAACCTCTTACTTCCCTAGGTAGGCCTCTAAATGGTAAAGGGAATTTACTCATCTGGGAATTCCTGATATCATTGAAGTCACATATCTAGTCCCTCTTCCTATGGATTATGATACTAGGGTTATCTAAGTCCTGTGGTTCATGGTTTTATTTTGATTGCCTTATGGAAATATATTTCCATATTCATCCACTATATTGCTTTCTGTATAGCTTATACCATCTTCCCTATCAAGATTAAATGAATTCTAAAGAGATTTTCAAGAATTTATAATTCTCTGTGCTTTCCCTATTTAAAAGAATGAAAGTTGTGGAAAATGATAGCATTCTCAAATGAAACAGAGAACAAAAAAAATCTTTTTCTGATCAATAATCCATCAGTATAAAGGCAGAAGCAGCATAGGTTCTAGGTTCTTTCATTTACTTAAATATTAGGAATCTTGAAGACGTGACTTATTTGAAAATTTTAAAATGTGATCACTTGAATAAGAAGGAGAATGTGAATTTGCATGATCCAATTGTCTTCCTTTAGACTGGTGATTCATAAAATAAAACAAAACTTAGGCAAAGTAGATCACTACCTAAAGTATAATACACAGAGCATTTAACAAAAATACTTTTCTTATCTTACTTTTGCAAATAGACAATTTTAAATGTCAGAGAGTTCTCCATAAGAGATATTTCTTTAACAGTATGATTTTGCATTTGTTACAGTAAAAGTTCAAAGCTACCTGATACCAATATGCCAAGAAAAAGGATGATGCACTTAGCAGAGAAATTGTTTGAGATGAGCCATCATCCCATCATCACCTATTATTATCCTTTGTCATCTTCTCTGTTACTGCCTGCTAAGATCCCTGGCTTTGGTCCACTGCTAGCAACTCCCTTTCTTGTCTTTTACTTAGTTGTGAATTTGGTTATTCCATGAACTCTGGCTTGATTAAACATGGCATAAATATTCTTAGAGTATAGACCAGGTCAAGTTAACAAGTCAACAAACATTTATTAAGTGTCTGTTACGCTCAGGTACCTTACCAGACACTGGGTAGGATGTGCTGGTGTATTCTGGGAGAGCATTGCCATTGGTTCTTCACATTTCCTTTAATAAGAGAATCAGTAGTAATGCTCCCTGTAAGTGTGATGGCATATCTAGTTTAAAATTTAAGCAAACTTATGCATAATATCCTATTGATTCTCTTAGATCATGACTTGAAGATCTTTCCTTAGGATGGTTGACTTCTCATCATGGACATATTTGGTCCTCTCCTTTTCTCCATGTAAAGGACATTATAATGTCCTTTCAAATCAAAGCAATTGGCTCCTTAACTCTTAGCCCAAACAATGGCCTGTGGCTCTGCCAAGCCCTTTGGGGTTTGGAGAGGTGAGGCTGGTGTGCTCTGGAGGTAACAATGCACTAACAACTGTTGGGCTAGACTTCTTCAATGCTGGCTACTCTCCAGGGTGCATTTGGTGCCTTGAAGAAACTGATAAGTAGTCCTGGATCTGAGCAGTTAGCTATTCTGCCTTCCAATAGCACAATGATTGCCTCATATCCTTTCAACTGGAAAATAAAGGACCTCTTAAGGTTTCTGATGCATATTGTTTTTAGTCCTCTATCCTGGGCACTCTCCATTTTTCAAGCCAAAGATTTAAAGGCAAATGTCTTTTCCTGAGCAGTAGAGATTTGGCAATTTGAGTTTTAGGCACAAAGGGAGCACATTTTTAAAGACTTTTCCTAGGTGTTTTCTTTTTTCATTTTTTTCTTAGGCATAAATAATGTAGAAGATTGGCCAGGGTAAATTCTCAGCCTTTATGTGACATTCTCTTACCTTGGGAGTCAATGTTTGAGAGACAAGCTCTTCAGAATTCTGACTATATTAAGAGTCTGTTTACCAAAAAAAAATATTGTATATCTACCTAGGTGTATAATGGCATAATTTATTAGTAGATGCTTATTTGTCTTTCTGTATATGTTCTTTTGTTCCTGCAATTGAAACCAGGTAATATTAGGCTATGTTTTGTAAGAGTATTTGGAAATAATTGCTTCCATTTTCATAGCCCCTTAAAGTTTACAAAATTTTGTAATTATAAGAATCCTGTGGGGGTAGTTAGTTTAAATATAATTACTCCAATCTTTCAGATGAAGAAACCAAGGTTAAAAGAGATTTAAATGACTTATCCAGGGCCATAAAATTAGTTACAGACCTATCCAGGCCAGTGACTCCAAGTTCAATGTTTGTCTCACTATACAGTTCACTTTGTGTGAATAATAATAATAATAGTAACTAGTATTCATAAAATGCTTTAAGATTTGTGATGCATTTTGCAAATAGCTTATTTTATCCTTACCTTATTTGTGGGAGGTAGGTACTATTATTATCCCCATTCAACAGATGAAGATATAGAAGCAGACAGGTTGTGACTTGCCCACAGTCACATAGCTAGTAAGTGTCACAGACTGGATTGGAATTTAGGTTTTCCTGAACCCTGTTCAGCATGAATTTGCTGTATCAACTAGCTCTCTTTCTTGTGAAGAAACCATTTTATATCTGTAATCAATATCTTCCACTGAATTTATTTATGTTGGAGAAAATAAGAGCTAGTGGGGGTGGTGGTGGTGGTGGAGCAAGTCTTTTTTTTAGCAATTAAGTAAAAGGAAATAGAATCTGGAGGCAGAGGACCTAAGTTCAAATCTCAGCTCTGCTATTTATTACCTAAATGACCTTGGTCAAGTCACTTAATCTCTTTCAGCCTCTGGGCAAAATGAGGGAGTTGATTAGATGATCTTTTTGGTCCTTTCCAGCTCTAAATCCCATCTCTCCTGAAACAAGATGTGTGATTTATGGTATTTTTCAAATTTGGCTTCATACCGTAGGATCAGAAAAAAAAAATGTTTATTTTCCTGGATACTGTTTGTTTCTTCTTAAAGTGAAATGCTGAAGTGTTGTGGTTTTTTTTTTAAACAAAAACCCTATACTTTTAAAAACTGAAGCAATATACAATTTGTATTTAACTTTTAGCTTATTGAAAAGGTAATTGACCAGAACATCTCATCTGCTTTTATTCATCCTTGATATAAGCAAAGGAATTCAGACTCTAGTAGGGGAATACTTCAAGCAAAGCATATGGACCAAAAAGCAAAACAAAACAAAAAAAAAAACCCAAGCCCCCATAATTTACAATTTAAAAAGGTTGAATTTCTTGTTGGTAGCATCACACATATTTTATATTACTTGACAGGACTTAAACTCAAACCTCAATGAACCAGAATAACAAAGAAATGAGATGTTCTGGTTAATTCAACCAGAATAGTTAAATAACCAATAACCAATGGTATCTGTTTAAATTATTTCAATGTCATCTATACTCAGATTATTCCCAGCTCTATAAATCCAGCTTTAATTTCTCTCTTTATCTTTAATTCCAAATTCTCACATACTTCTTCTATATATTTCCATCTGTATGTCCTGTTAGCACTTCAAATTCAAAACATCTAACACTGAACTCATCACTTCTTGCTGCTACACATTATGACACCACCCTATTTCTGATGAGGGCACAATCATCCAGTCACTGAGGTTTGTGTTTATTTTTCTCCCTCCCCCCATCCTATATTTAATATGTTGTCAAGTCTTGTCCATTCTATTTCCACAACATTTCTTACATTTTTTTCTTTTTCTTGACTCATACTACCAAAAACCTACATATTCACTTATCATCTATTTTAATGTCCTTCTAATTAGTCTCTTTGTCTCTTTCTTCTCTAGTTTTGTCCACACAACCACTAAAATAATCTTGCTAAACATAGGTTTGACAATGCCTCTTCCTTCTTCAAAAACCTCCAGTGGTTTCCCTTATTGTCTCCAAGATAAAACACAAATTCCTTCAACTGGCCTTTAAGACTGCCCACTCACTCACCATGTTTGCCTTGCTTTATATTCCCGTGTTGATGTACTCCCTATTACAGTCAAATTGTACTATTAATTTTTCTGTGTACTTGCCATTCTCTGTCTGTCAATTCTCATAAGTCATGTCTCATGTTCAGAATTCTTTTCCTATTTATCTTTGCCCTTGTGAATCTTTATATTCCTTCTTTTTCCTTCCTCTGACACATACTAACTGCCTAGACAACTCTCTAAGACTCTTTGCAAAAGTGGTTCCAGCCTACCTCAATTGAGTTCTATCATTTGGAAGTTCCATATACAATTGAAATGGCAAGTACAGTTTATATAATTCTTCCTATTTTCTATGCTCAACTCAGAAACCATCTTTTCCAAGAAATATTCTTTGATTCCTTTAGGCATTAGTGCTCTCTCCCTCTTTTCAAATTTTTTAAAATGTATTTCTGTTTGCATGTTGTATTAGGTCAAGAGTACCTAAGCTCCTTGTGGGCAGAGATTATTGATTTGTATAACCACAGTGCTTAGCTTTCACATAATTTGTCAAATTTGAATTTGAATCAAGTTACAAGAAGGAAAACTCAAAAATATTAAATCAGTGGGTAGTAGAATTATTTACAATCTAAACATTCTAATAAGAACATTATACAATCATAATGTTCATATTCATTTTGAGCTAACTTTGATATTTCAATATCCTGAATAATTAAGGAAAGATTGGTTCATATAGTTATATCTATTGAGGCATAGGCTTATGGCAACACAGACAAGTTTATATAATACTTGAGAATTTCAAGTATTAAAAAATATTTATATTTCATTAATTGAATTTATTTGTTAACAACCTAAATATAATTTAAAGAAGTTTATGTTTTGTCTTTTGACTTTTGCTTTATTCCTATATTTAGTGTCTTTAAAAAAAAGAAATGGAATTTAAGACACATTTAAACTAAAGGTCACATTGAGATGTTATCATCATAAGTGAAATGTTTTTCTTTGCGTTTCCTAAAACTAACATTTTAAAATTGGTAGACCTCTATTCGATGAAAATTAGAATCTTTCTAATGTTTCCATTGAATGTTTGCTTCTGTTCTTTTCAATTATAGTCTCAAAATTATGTGATCCTGGAGAGTCTTCAGCCAAATAACAACTATATGGTGGAAATACAGGCCATAACTTATTGGGGACAAGTACGCTTAAAGAGTGCTAAAGTATCTTTTTACTTCACTGCCACACAAGCAATAAGTAATAGTAAGTATTTCATATTTTCCCTAGGACAATGAAATCTTTAAAATAAATTATAAAGATAAAAGGAAACAAAATGAATTTGAAGTGTAAAAACAGGTAAAGCTTTGGAATTGTCTTGTTAAGAGCAAATATCAACAGAAATATATCACCAGTGCACTTTAAATGTTGCATACAAAGTAGATTAAATTGTGAATTTTTAAGGTTCTATTTTAGAAAAATAAGAGGTATTAATCATTATGCCACATCCATTTTGGAAGGAAAATGATAACATTCTTTATATTATTCTCTAGTGGATAATATATATCACCTCCATGTGACTTCTCAAGTGGTTCTAGATACACTGGGCAAATTGAAAAAGATCATGTGGAAGGTATTCTGTTTAGATCAGCACTTCCAAAGAAATAGATTCTTGGGGTTAGGGGAATCCAGTAATCTGGGTCTGGATAAGGAAGTGGAAATAGTTTGAATGCAAGTAGCCAGAAGTATAAATAAAAGCTTACTGAGTGATAGAAAACCTCATCTTTATCCCTAATCCTCAATGGCTTGCCACTTTCCCTCTATTTATTCCACATTTTATCTCTATAGTCTCTATGCCTCATTTTAGGTGAAGCTAGATTATCTGATCAGACAATTAATATGAATGTAACATCAATCAATAATCGATAAACATTTATTAAGTGCCTTTATACCAGACACTGTACTTAATGCTGGCAAAAAAAGGACAAAAGACAGTCTCTGTCCTCAAGGGGTTCACCATCTAATAGGGGAGACAAGGTACAAACAAATATACCCAAAGCAAGCTACATGAAGGATAAATAGGAAATAATAGAGGGAAGACACTAGTAGTTGGTGAAGACTTCATACCGAAGGTTGGATTTTGATAGAAACTTCAAGGAAGCCAGGAAAATCAATAGTCAGAGTTGAGAAGGGAGAGTTTTCTAAGCATGGGGAAAATAAGAAAAAATGCCCGGAGTCAAGAGATGGAAGTCTTATTTGTGGAACAGCCAGGAGGCCAGTGTCACTGAATTAAAAAGTATGTGTAGGGAAATAAGGTATAAGAATACTAGACAGGTAGAAGGAGGCTCAATTATGAAGAATTTCAAATGTCAAATAAAGTATTTTGTATTTAGGCCTGGAGGCAATAGGGAGCTACTGGAGTTTATTGAGCAAGAGGGTAAGAGGATTATTATTCAGTTGAAACTTTTATAGGACTTTGTTCTTTTTGATCCATGTAGCAACCTTACAAGGGAGGTGCTATTATTAACCTAAGTTATAGAAGAGAAAACTGAGCACCTGAGAGATGCTCTTTGTAGTCACTGAGTCACACAGCCAAGAAATATCTGGGGCAAGGTTCAAAAGAGTCCTTTCTGCCTCTCCAGCACTCTCTCCACTCATTGATCTATGCTGAGAACTATCACGTCCAGGATCCTGCTTTCTAGGAATTTATTAACAATGGTCTTCTGGAGACAGTGCGTCTATTATGTTATCTATTATGGAAATATGACTTCAATCATGGGAATTTCAAGCCAGGGAGGAAGATACTGACAGCATGATATGTTAGTGGGAGAAACATTTTTGGACAAATTGCTTCCTTGACTTTATAAGGCTGACCTTTGTTATCAATCCCCTTTTCTGAAGGTATTTAAAAGAACTTACTGGGACATATAGTCCTTATGTAACTCTCTTGCCATTTGATGATCTCATATCTGCTTGAAGACTGCTGCTGACAGGAAACTTCCTGTCTTATGAAAACATTTTGGGATTGTTGTAACAGGAAGATGCTCTTTTGTTAAACCCAAATGTTTCTCCCTATCCCCTGACACTAAGCAAAGCCAGTCTGAATGCTTTTTCACATGATACATATTTGAAGACAGTGGATAGTTAGACACTCTGATTAAAGAAGATATTTTCTTTAGACATAATGGAGATTAAAATAGAAGAAAAATATTCCAAGACAAACAGAAACCTACATTACATAAATTCGTTCCCACTCCCTACACATATAAAGGATAAAAACATATATTTTTTCTCTGTACTCACCTCTTTAAGGAACAGTATAATAAAAGTGTCAATAGAAAGAAGTTGACAGGTCAATAATGCTAAAGAAATAATGTTAAAGAAATAAATCTATTTTTATTAACATATGACAGGAATGCCTTTTGTATATATATATTAGGGGGAAGTCAACCCAGGTTATGACATCATTAATAAAGTACTAATTTCAAATTTGGGGCATTCAGATGTGTGTGTGTGTGTGTGTGTGTGTGTGTGTGTGTGCATGGATGTTTGTGTTTAAACAGGATAGCTTTTAATTTCGCTGGGGTGGGGCAGCCATGAGATTATTGACCTATGAAAAGCTCCTTCCAACCCAATGATTCTGTCATTCTTGTTAAACTTTTGCATTTAGGTAATGAAAGGTTTAGGAAATCTATGAAAAATAGGAAATGGTGCAAAGCAGCTGCTGTTACATGTATTGTCTGCTTCTCACCAGGTAAATCCTATAAAAAAAAAAAGAGATTGGTTTTGCTAAGTACTATGTAGAATACAGTTTTCTGTTTACTGATATTTTATATCTGAATGTTTTTTATATACTCTCATAAATATAGGGTACTGCTTTTATGAGAACACAACATATTTCATCACAGAACTACTGAAACAAAAGAATAATTACAACTTTATAGTGTAAGCAAGGGAAATTATATTTTATAGGGAAGAAGAGTACTAAATGCCACAACATGAATTACTTTTTGAGTTATATTACTTCCAAGGCTGGAGGCAGCTATATTTTAATGATAAATACCTCTACACAAATTACAGCTTTCTTTTTGTGGGACCTGGCAAAAAGTACCCCTCAAAGTGAGGGAGAAATGTGTCTTATACAGAGAAGTAATTTGCTTTAAAAAAAATATTTATTTATTTATTTTAACTCCAAGAGCAATGCTTCCAAGGTTGACAGACTTCAATTTGGGTGAACTTAGGAATAATGTATTTTTATAGTTACCACATGGATCCTGAATATTCTTCAAGCTGATATTATAAGAGCTATAGTACAAATGAAACCCTTTCAGTCCTTCACACCTTAAAATGAAATAAAGATTTAGGCCTTTGGAAACAAAATACATGGTGGTCTAGCCCTTTAAACTCCTAATCTATTTTGTGACTGAGAAAACATGTAAACTATTTCAGAATCTGTCCCTCTGTAAAGCTTGGCAGGAAAAAATATTATTCTATTTTTAATTTTTTCCCCTGAGGAATGGAGCTGAGAGCTATAAAGGTAGAAATCATAAAAAAGAACCTTAAAAAGAGATATGATTTTTTTTTGTTTACAGTATATGCTTATAGTGTTAGGAACAATATTTCCAATTAATGCCTTTCCTCTTTGTACTTATTTTCATATATAGATTAGTGGTCATGTGGAGATATTTTAAAATTGACCCTTAGCTGTATTTTTTAACAAAGAGTGATGAATAACAGGGTCAAAATTGGATTGAAAGCAAAATTAATTAGTAAACAACAATAGTAACATCTCATATTTAGCCATTAGTGGATTACTTCATGTCACCAATTATTGATATATATACACATATATGAACATATATGCTCATATACTATATATGTATATGAATATATGTTAAAGTCAGTTAATAAATGTGTTACTAATCCTAACTACTATCCTAGTTGGTACCACAGATATTCCAATTCCCAATCCAATATACTATCCACATTGCCTCTCATCCCATCTGATGTTTCCTCTCAAGAGATTGGATGTATACATAAATACCAGTTACACTTCTACTTTTCTTTCCACTGAAATATGGAATGTCAATCATTTGCTTAAACACTGTACAGATTTGTTAAATATTATGATTGGAGCTGACATCTGCCAATTTAGAAGTAAGTGGTGATGATTTAGTTTGGATTCGGTGCTACTGTTTTGACAAACTTGAAGACAATATTTCCTGGTGTATTTGGGAAATTTTACCAGTGCCTACAGTGAAGTAGGTAAAATGACAAGTATTTGTGTCCAATTCATATAATTTTTGCTTATATTTTTACTATAATTTATTTTTCTACTATTATCTTATTAAAACTATTCATTTAGGGACCTTATACAGCTAATTTTATTTATTCTTTTCCAAAGCTTGAAACGGATTATATGAGTAGAGCTACATTTATATAAAAAAAAAATTTCTAGGAATCATGTCATCAGGCTAGCTGAGTGTTTAAAGGAATAAGTAGGTAAGTCAGAGGAGTAATACTTCATTAATATGTATTTGTATATTTATATATGTGTACATGCGTATATGCCAATCAATAAACATTTATGAAGTACTTACTTAGTGCCAGACACAGAGCTAAGTTCTAGGGATACAAAGAAAGGCAAAAGAGAGTCCCTGTTGTCAAGGAGCTCACAGTCTAATGGGGAAAACATTCAGACAACCATGTATAAACAAGTTATATACAGGATAACAGAGGGAAAGCACCAGAATTAAGAGGGAGTGGGAATGGCTTCCTGCAGAAGGTAGGATTGAAGGAAGTCAGAATTCTGGAGATGGAGAGGAGGAGGGAGACTATTCCACATATGGATTCTAGCCAATGAAAATATCTGGAGTCAGGAGATGCAGTGTCTAGTGTAAGGAATGGAAGGAGGCAAGTGTCACTTTATCACAGAGTACATAGGAATGACTAGTGCTTAAAAAAACTGAAAAAGGTAGGAAGGTCTGGGTTATGAAGGACTTTGAATGCCAGAGGATTTAATATTTGATCCTGGAGATGATAGGGAGTCATTGGCCTCTAGTGGGACGTGGTTGGACCTGTACTTTAGGAAAATCACTTTGACAGCAGAATGCAGAATGGGGCTAGATTGGGGGCTAGATGGATCATCCAGCAGGTTAGTCCAGGTGTGAGGTGTTAAGGGCCTATTCCAGGGTGGTGGCAGTTTCAGAGTAGAAAAAGGAAGGTATTTGAGAGATGTTACAAAGGTAAAATCAATAGGGCTTGGCAACAGATTGTAAATGAGAGGGGTAGTGAGAGGGAGTGAGATGATATAGGTTTCAAGCCTGTTGGACTGGGAGAATGGTGGTTTGCCCTCAACAGTAATAAGGAAGTTCGGAACGGGAGAAGGTTTAGGGAGAAAGATCATAGCTCAGAAATGTTGAGGTTAAGACATCTACAGTATATCCAGTTGGAGATGTCTAATGAAAGACTGGAGTTTAGCAGAGATATTAGGGTCAGATAATTCAATTTGAAAAAAAAATTAACATAGATATGATAACTAAGTCCAAGGGAGCTGTAATCAGCAGGGGGAATAGCATAGAGAAAAGAAGAAGGCATAGGAGAGAGCCCTGAGGCTCACTCAAGATCATCCAGTGTGACCTGGATGAAGAACCAGTAAAGAAAACTGAGGAGTCATCAGTCAGGTAGGAAGAAAATCAGAAGAAACCTAGAGACAAGAGAATATCAAGGAAAGGGGTGATTATCAATGTCAAAGGCTCCAGAGAGGATGAGTATTTTTTAAAAGGCATGAAACTTGGCAATTAAAGGATTTTTGGTGAGAGCAGTTTTGGTTGAGTGATGAGGTTGTAATAGACAGTTATATACAGTTATAGTCAGTGTATGTACATAAACACACATATTCAATTAAATAAACTTGAATACTGTACTTTGTATGTTTCATTACAGAAGATCAACTTGGGAAAACTAGAAAAGGAGTCACTGAAATGCTTCCCCCTTTTCAAAGAAGGAGAACCACTCGCCTTCTGGAAATTGGAGCTCCTTTCTACCAGGACAATATGCTTCAGGTCAAAGTCTATTGGAAAAAGTCTGAAGGTATGTGAAATATTTCTTGACAAACCAGAATAACAACTGTAAAACTGGACATAAATGGGATCCCTGATTCCAGCCCCTCTTTGACCTCTAATCCACTCTACAGTTATCTTCTTAAACCTTAACATTTACAAGTTTCTTTTGCTTAAATATTTCTATTGCTTCCCATTGGCTATAAGATAATGTTCAATCTTTTAATCTTTCTCTTCAATTCCCTCTGTAATCCAGCTCTAATCTATATTTTCAGCATCATTGTCCACTGCTTTCCTTCACATATGCTATAGGCACAATGTCCCACATGCCTTTCTCCAAGAATATCCTTTACGTTCACAACTCTTTCTCTGCTCATGGTGTTACTTCCACTAGAATGAGCACCCTAGCCACATCTTACAAAATTCTGCCTGCCCATCAAAGCCAACTCTAATATCCACATTCTTCATGAAATTTTCAGGACACCTCTTCCAAATTGTATTCATCTGTACTTCCAGTGCACTATATAACTTTCTAAAAGCATCTACCTCTCTTTTCTGTCACTGTATCTGTAGCTGTAGACCAATAGATCATAAATGTCAGTTTACTTTTCTCCTCTATTAAATTATAATATTTGCAAGGAGAAACACTGTGCTTTAAAAAAATCCTCTTTAATTATAGCACATTGCTTTTCACATAGTAATAATACCCCAATAATCATTCATTGCATTGAATTGAATGCACAATATGAATGGATGAACTATTTAAATGCCTTTCCTAGAATGAATTTTGGTTGTATCTCTTGTGTGGACTTGACATTATTAACTTTGACTTGAGTTGGTGTTGTGTGCTCAGTCAAGTTACATGAAAAGCCATGTTTTTGTTGTGTAATTTGATGAATGTTGGCTTAAAATAAAAGTTTCACTCATGCCCTCTCCCTTTACAGAAACTATCATATCATGCTCTCTGGATTGTAGTGGCTTGGAGATCAAGTCATTTGTAAGGCCTTTGTAAGAAGGAAAATTTCATTTGTAAATGCATTCAAAGGCAAATATGTTATAATATATTACCTGTATTACCACTTCAGATAATTCATTCAGTAATTATTATCAATCACCTGTTATATATAAGAGGATTGCAAAGACATGAAACCTGGATCCTTGTTTTTATAGTTTATTTAGTTATCTAATAAGGTTTGGATAGATTAAATCATAGAACTGGTAAGCTTTTTTAGGGATAGAGATCAGACAAAATCTGGACCTTGCATAGGGGACAAAATTGAGGGAGCCAAGAGAAATAAGGTGGTTAGGAGTTGAGCTTTGCCTATGTTATTTTGTCTCAGGTCTACTTTGCATATATTGGTTCCCTAACCCTACTTAAAGAAATATAGAAGTACAAACTTTATTATGTTTTAATCTTTCAGTCTGTAATGCAAATGCCATAAAAGTTAAGTATCTAATTAGATTTGGATGTTAAAAAGACATTAACCTTCGCTGCATTGCTGAAGTAAGTTGTTAGACACTGTTTCAGTTTAGTGATGTAATCTATATCCCACACATGATTATTTAAATGCATGCTAATCAAGAAAGTGGATTTTTCTTGAAGTAGCCTAAAAATATCCATCAAATTAATTAAATGATATAGCAAAAGAATCTAAAATCTGATTCAACAGTTCAAAATAGCAATGCTTTTATTAGCACCTTACAACTGTTTTCTCCTTACAGTTTAAGAGAATTTATAGAGAAGTTATAGAACACAACATTTCTTTGATTAATTGCTGATGAATGACATAACAAACTTCATTCTCACATTTGCTTCACCATCACAAGACAGTTAGTCTCAACAACAGAAAACAGTTCTCAGAGAAAAGAAGTGACCTTACTATTGGCATTTATCCAATCTTTGCCTTCTCTCCTGAATTTTGTGCCAAGTGTAGTCATATTTTTAGTGACTTGTACAGTACCAGCCTACTAGGGAGCAGAATGAGGTGATGAGCTAATTTAACACTGGGCATCCAGCATCCATTAGTCATCAATGATTTGTTTCACTAATTCAAAATAGGCAAAAATGATCTGGTAACTGAGCTATCATTAATCATGCTAATTCTCAATCTCTGACCCATTTAATTCTCAGGGAATGTTTCCTAATACAGTTTTCATTTAAAATGAACAACATTTAGATATAATTAAAGATACTTAATAAATGTGTATGTTGGCCTAAGAAGAATCTTTGAAGTTAACAATGTAACCATATTCTCTACAGCTATGCTAAAGTATAATTTATTTATTTGGACAAATAAATGATTGTGTGCAATGCTACTGAATGATTGGTCATTGAACTCTGTAAGTATATGCTATCACTCACTGTAACATTACTTTTCTTGAAAAAAAGCATGTCTTTCATAAATGTATATTCACAGAGGAATTTTTTTCAAATATGTACTCATTTTCGAGACCAAAAATCCACTTGTTTCTCTGTCTGGTTTAGCATCATTCACTTCTCTAACTATTTATGCTAAAAATGCAAAGGCAGACTCTCATTATTCTTGGATCATCTACAGAAATTTTTGAAGTGAGAAGGATTTGAAATGAGATTAGATTCATTCAGTCAAGAACAACAATAATAAGATTAATTTATATAAGTATACGTAAAAAAGGAGAAGGATGTGGAAGAAGAGAAGGATGATGATGAGGGGAAGATTTAAAGACTTGACCAAGAAGATCAAAATCATGTAGGATCATGATGAGATGCATCCTTTTCTGTCTGCAACTGGAATTGTATCACAGATACAGTTGGCGAGGTTGCCTTCTAAGAATGAGATTACAATTCAATATTTTTATCCAATTACCAAAAATGATTTATTTCATACACATTTGCAGTAAGCTGCAGAACATTGTGCGTAAAAGAATGCCAATGCTTTCTGGGAGAGTGTTTATGTAAGCCCCATAGAAAAAGAGGATGATGATAACAAAAATGGCTGTCATGCAGATTTACTTGTGGAAATGGAGGGCATTATGATAGAAATTAAGGACCAGGTCATTGCCACAAGTTGAGTCCTCATTTTCACTCAACCCACATAACTAATCCATTGCCAAATATTGTTTCTATCTTCACAACATCTTTCGTATATGTTCCCTTATATAGCCACAACCCTACTTCAGACCCTTGTTACTTCTTATTGAACTACTACAACAGTTTTCTCATTGTTATCCCTGCCTCATGTGTCTCCCTACTCTCCTGCACCCTTCATTTACCAGTTAAGGTGATTTTTCTAAAGTACAGGTCTGACCCTTTCACTGTCCCTGATCAATGATTTCCAGTGACTCTCCATTACACCCATGTTTAAATACAAAAAGTCATCTGTTTGGTATTTAAAGCTTTTCATAACCTGGATCCTTTATATCTTTTCAGTGTTCTTATACTTATTCCCCTCTATAAGTTCTCCAAGTCAACCATCATGGCCTACTTACAGTTCTTCTAACATGACACTCTTATCTTCCATTGCTGTGCCTTTTTAGTAGCTGTTTCTCATGTTTGGAATGCTATGCCACCTTAGCTGTCTTAGTTTCCTTGACTTTCCTCAAGGCTCAGCTCAAATCCCACCTTCTACAGGGAACCTTTCTCTGTCTCCTCTGCTATTAGTGCCTTTCCATTTCAGATTACATTCATTTACTTGGAATATATCTCCTAAGTGCCTAGGTATTTGCATATCGTATTGTTCATTAAAATGCACCTTGCTTGAAGGCATGGACCGCCCTTCCTCTTTAGTAGTATCTTCATCATTAGCATAGTTCTTGGCCAGAAGTGAGCACTTAATGTTTGTTGATTGTTGACTGATTGACAAGTCATCATAGAAGTTTTATTCTTAAAAAAAACAACCTAAAATTAGTGATTAATTAGTATCTACAAGCAAGCAATAGAAATATGAAACACATAGCATTGTAGGCAGTAAAAATTTAGCACCTTCTGGAAAATTAGCAACACATGACATAGTAGCTGGAATTATGAGTAAGAAGCTCACTATTTTTCATGGACTGACAGATAAGCCATCCTCATACTACAAATATAGTGTTTAAAACCTCCTGGAGAACTCTAGAGGCACATTATACCAGAATGAGATCATTATCCCCAAACTTAACCATTATCTAAAATCATTCTGATGTAGAAGTGATACATCAAACACTTGCTACAGCCTTTTAAATGAATTCAACATGCTAAATACTCATGATCTTTAAGGTATGTAGAACAAAAAGGATGTTCAAAATATCAAAACCTCTATGAAAATATAAAAATTATGTGGAAATAGAATGAAGTGCCTATTATCTTTCTATGTCTACTAATGTAGTTGCCTACTTTCAGTGCAGTCAAAGATATAAGCTTGAATTTTGGTGGAGATGCCTATGATTGACCCTGAAGTCTTAACACATGCAAAGTGTGTGTTCTATTACCAATATGTCTTAACCTTCATAACATTGGTATTTCCTCCTAAAAAAATCCTTCAATTTTCTTCCTTTCATTATTTCTTTAGTTATATAAACAAAGCACAATGATGCCTGTAGCATAGGAGATTACTGTACACAACAAAGAGGGCATGGGAGCAAAACATTTTAAGAAGCTCATCTGCAGGTCCTATAGGTCACTGAATCTCAAACAAAAAAAAATTCTCCAGGCATTTAAAAACATATGTCATATTCATTGGCATCATTAACATGAAAAATGTAGTTTTAAAAACATACATACATAAATTTCTCTATTCTGTAGAAAAATGCCTTTTAAGTAGATATATTACACTTTAAGGATTTGGATGCAACATGAAATCCACAAGACTAATTTGTTTTCTCTCAGTGAAAGGAACATTTTGTGGCTAGATTTTCTGGCCATTTGGACTGTGTGAAATTAGAAATTTTGAGTTATTTATGTTATTAGAACCATCTCAAATAATTTTTAACTCCTTTACACAAACACCTAAAAACATTCATGGAAAAGAATCTACTTCTGCAGTGGATACTCTGAACTGCAGGCTTAATGGGATT